CTTCTTACAATAGACCTATATATGCTAGCTATATGTACATGTAAGTCTACCCATACACTTTCAACCCAAAGGTTATATGTTATCTACCTATAGCTGTATACATAGCCTGCATAGTGCATAGACACACAAATGCATATTTACATATACACTTAAAGGGAGAGAAAAAAAGATTGTAATTTGTAAAGCTGTTTGAGGTTTAGATGCCAAAAACATGTTTCATTCTCCCCACCTCATTAATTGTAGGTCCCTCGATTTTTTCGCACTATTCATATTCTAGTGTGTGAATGTGCGTGGGTAATTTGGGAAGTAAAAAATGTGTTACCAAGAAGAATTTCTATTTTTCAGAAAAAACCTAATTTTATTAATTTAACCAACTCGATTTGGTTTTACGGAGTTTGTTTTGGATATTTATTTAAGTTGCAAGGATTTTCATCAATTTTCTTAAGAATTGACATTCATCTTTTGTTGAACGTATTTTATTTTATATTTTTGGCATTTTTTTTTTTTAATTTTAGAATTTAAACTTAGTTATGGTCGAAGTTCAGATAGAGCCTACAAAAACCATGTGTGAAGGAGGTGGAGTGAACTGAAATTATAATTTTTGCAGGGGCATTTCTGGAAATCAGATATCTGGATTAAAAAAGGCAGTTTTAATTATTATTTTTTTATTTGTTTTATTTTTATTTTTATTTCCACGAGGATGGATTTTATGGATGTGATAGTTTTCAATTATTTTAGAGTGACAGCTATCTTTTTCACCAGGTCTCTAGGGCTTCTTTTTATTATCTGCGCCCACCAGCTACTAGACTGTTATTAAGAATGTTAGTTTTTAAATTTCGTTGGGAAAAAATAATAATCAAAAGACTGAATATTGTAACTAGATGAATATTTAAAAAAAATAAGGAAAATAAAGTAGTGCATAATAAAATAAATAAAATAGCCGAAAATTGTAAATTGGTAACTCAATGTGCAATAATATAGCCCAAGAGAGTTGCAGAATAAAATGTAAGGACAAAAGGCTACAAAAATTAAATGAATGAAAATTTGGAAGATATGTTTTCTGATTTCACTGACAATTACGTAACTCTGCCCGAGCCTCTAGACAGAGAGGTTGTGCTGTGAGAGCAGTCAAATCATATTATATCTTTATAAAATTTATTATTATTATTATTAACGTGATCAATATTATTTCAATTCAGACTTATAATAAGTTATAATTAACAAAAAGTCTATAATCTCTATTCTGTGAGGAATTTTAGCCATTAGATATAAAGTTATTGTAGATACATGAAAGTTACATGTATATCTGATGGCTAAAATCCTTCACGAACTCATTTCGTGACGAGATTGTAGAATTTTCCAATAATTAACCCTTTAGCTTTTTTCTCTTAAAACGTTATGTCAAGTCTTTAGAGTAAGAATGAGTTACAAACTTAATTATCGAACTTACACATAACAAGGTTAACAGTGGTTGATGGGTGCGGTCCCACGCACGAAATCAGGGAAGCCCAAATAAAGTCTAAGTGATGTTCCATCCCAAAATCAATTGGTGGAAGGAGAAATAGCCTACTAAACTTATAAGTTAGACTTATTTTTCTTGTATAGACGATGTGGGATAACTCACAAGTGTATATTTTAACATCCCCTCACTTGAGAGTCCTTCGGAATCCCAAGCCCAACTGGACTGGGTGACGAGCACGTCATTGCACGGTCCCACGTAGGCCCAAGCCCAACTGGATTGGGTGAACCGACTCTGATAGCATGACAAATGGGTGTTGACGGGTGCGGTCCCACGGACGAAGCACACCAAATCAGGGAAGCCCAAATGAAGCCCAAGTGATGTTCCATCCCAAAACCAATTGGTGGTAGGAGGAGTAGCTCACTAGGCTTATAAGTTAGGCCTATTTTAGGATGGAACTTTACTTGGGCTTCCTTGATTTTGGTGCTCTTCGTTTGTGGGACCGCACTCGTCAACCCCCGTTTGTCATGGTATCAGAGCCGGTTCACCCAACCCAGTTGGGCTTGGGCCTTCGTGGGGTCATGCAATGACGTACCCATCACCCGTCAACCCCCGTTTGTCAAATATTTTTATTAAAAATATTATATGATCTTTTATTTGAATATATATGGGCATAAAACGTATGGGAATATTATTTCGAAATGTAATCTGAAATTTTATTGATTAGTTATTAAGTTCGAAAACAGTATCAATTTACTAAACCTAGCTATAAGGTTATAACCATTAAATTGCAACTGGTCGAGTCTATACTAATTGTTCCCATGTACTTCGAATTAAGTTTGATGGGCTACGCTGAAAAATTTTGTGGTCCTATATTTAACAGGGAATCAGGAATTCAAGATGAGACAATTTATGTACCACTGGACAATAAATATATATAAACTAATGCGTGGTTTCAGATTTTGTCGAGTATCTCCTTAATTTTCTTGGATCCACAAGAAAAATTAAATGGTTGCTCACCAGCTAAATCGAGTCTAAGCTTGTTTATCAATACAAACTTGCCAAATTTGAGTTTAACAAATTAAACGATAGATAATTTTGTAAAAAAAAATTACTTTTAACGCTATAAATTAGAATGACTTGAAATGATGAGCTCATGTATGGCTCGTTTGTAAAAAAAAAAAAAGAATCGAACTCATAAGCTACGCGTTTCTTTTGACAGCTCGATAGACTAGAAATAGTTAATTAATAAAGCGAATTTCACCGCGGATCACCTAACTTCTTTAGGTACATCCGAACCCTTAGGTGGCTTGAACATCGCATTCTGTTTTAGCGTCCGTTGGGTCTGAGCCTTCCTTTATTGTACCAAAGAAAAAAAAAATAACAATACATAAATTATTACTATTGATTGTTTGATAAAAATAATTTATAGTTTATTTAATTAGAAGAAAGCTCCTCTTAATAATTGTGAAAACAACAGGTGAATGAGTGAAAGCTAATGAGAGCCCATGCAAACGTCCTTTTCTCACTCCTTTCCCCCACCTCTACCGCGTCTGCCACCGCTTTCTCTCTCACACACTACACGCACTACGGCCATCGGGAATGCAAACCCATACACGCAATTTTCCTTTTAATTATTAACATCATTCACATTGAACTTATATATGGTGATAAATGTATTGTATATTTGTTACACATTGAACTTATGGTACTGATAAATGTTTGAGGATTAGGAGAATGTTTTACAGTGAGAAGTGAGAAATAACATAATTCCATAGGATAATTTTTGATGTTTTTAAATTTTCAATATCGTGTTCGTGTTGTATAAATGAGCTGATTAAATACTTGTGTTGATACGTGTAATTTGTGGCCGAAAAGAATACAAAACTTGTCGAACAATGAAGAGAGATTAATTTGGGTGAGGTGAACTTTTCTATCTCTTCGCGGATGAATGAATGATTTGACTCATCGATTCAATAAAGATACATTAATTCGTCACATATTATCAAACTAATTAGTATACTAATTTGTCATAATCATAAAAAATCCCTATTAATTTGGCAAACCAGTGTATCCAAAAAATCATCAAAATTGATACACTAACTTGCTAAATAAACATTTTGTTTACTAGATATGGCCAAAAGCCGGTGGTTCTGATCATAACCGTCGATTCGTGGGTCAATTTTTGGTTGACCCAAACTAGTTGTCCCTTTTTGGAATCGACATTGCGATTTTTGCCGGGCCCTCAACTGGAAAAAATTGAAGTAAATAAGTAAAAAAAGCAAAAATAATAAAGATTTAAAAAAATACTGTAACTTCAAATTAGAATTTAGGTGTCGAACCATTGGTTCCGATTTCGAAACAGAACCGAAACCAATGGTTTAAATTTTCTTAAAACATATATGAATCGGAACTGACATGGACTATACGTCACAAACCATGGTCAATGGTCAATGGTCAAGGCAGGTTCCAAAAACGTTGACCACGGGCGAGTTCTCGAATATCCGTGTCCATGACTACCCGTAACCCTACATCTTTTTGTTTCTTATATCTTAAAAATCCCACCAAAAAAGAAAAACATTTAGACAATCAGATCATAAGGCAGTTAATTATCTGTCAAAAACACCCGTACACACCCTCTCTTTAAATACAAACACCTTTATCACCGCTCAATCAATCAAATCAATCCTTCATAGATTCCTCAACCATTCAAACACAAAACACAAAAGAGAATCAAAGAAAACATATTTTCCCACATATCAATTCATATATATACATACATACAATCCAAAAACATCAACCAAAATTAACAAACCAGAAAAATATCTCAACTAGAAAAAAAATGTCGTACTCCTCCGTTTCGCCTTCCGAGCAGCTCTGTTACGTCCTCTGCCGATTTTGCGACACCGTCCTTGCTGTATATTTTATATTCCTAACTATTTAATAATTAACTCGAAAAAAAGTTATCTTTACTTATTTTTTCTCCTTATTTTTATGGTTTTATTTTATTTTTATTTTTTTAAAAAAGGTGAGCGTGCCTTGCACGAGCTTGTTCAAGAATGTTACTGTGCGATGCGGGCATTGCACCAACCTGCTGTCGGTGAACACGCGCGAGATGCATGTTGCCCACTCCTTCTTTCCTCCACTCAATCTTATGGTAATATTATTAATTAATAATTAGGGTTTTAAGTTTTATAGTGTTTGGAATTAGGGGTTTCAATATTTTATTTTCATTTTTTTTCTTCAAAAGCCAATTTCTGGATCATGTGATGTAGTGTTTTAGTTATTTTTGTGGGTTTTATGTGAAAGTTATTTATNAACATATATAGGAAGAGATTCGTAATGTGCCGACTAACTTGCTCGTGAACCAGCCGTATCCGAATGAGTCGTTTATGCCTGCTCGAGGGCTCGACGAGCTTCCCAAGACTCCAGTGGCTAACAGACGTGAGATTTTCATTATTTGATGATCTGAAATTATTTTTTTTTTCCTTGATTAAAATAGGTTTAGATATTTTGTTTTCAATTTTTTTCCAAGTACTTGGTAACCAAAAATAAGAAGAAGTTATGAAAATGCGCTTTGGGTTTTGAGTTTACTCTTCAATAATTGTGTAATGATGTATTATGGTTTTCTTTTCTATCTTACATGTTATTCATCAAATCTATTTCAAGCATGGATAACAAAAGAGAAAACACAATTAACATTTCGAAGCTATTGATTTATCATATTAGGTAAACGAAAACACACATGTCAAATATTTATTACTCTTTCTTTATACTATTATGACAACCAACCGTTCATATTTTCTCATCAACAGATAATTTTGTATCAGTTATCTAATATGAGAAAATAGATTAACTCTTTTATTAAAAAAATATTATTTTCAATTATTTTTATTGGCCTTGCATTTGGAATTTGGATATATGTATATAATTCAACAGAATCTCCCCCCGGGATCATGATCATAGGAACAAAAAATGGCAAAATCATTAGATAATGATGAACTAGTGATAAGATGAAAATGATGACAAACTAAACAAGAAAGTCAACCAAAGTAAAATTAATGTCCACTCTGTTTTTTTTTTTCTTCTGTATGTATTTTTATGTTTTTTTTAACAGCCCCCGAGAAAAGACAGAGAGTTCCATCGGCTTACAACCGGTTCATCAAGTACGTATGATTATATACATACATACATTTATATACAAATATTACATATACGTACGCATAGGAAATATATTTTAACAGAGTGTTAATTTATTGGTGATGAACAATATGTTGACAAAATTTAATTTGTTAATTATAGACTTAGACACACATACACATACACATACACACACATACACACATACACACATTAGATGTGTTTTTATAGATACACTATTTGAGTATAGACACACACATACACATACACATACACACATTAGATGTGTTTTTATAGATAAATGTGCGTTGTTTTTCTCTGCAGCTTTAACTATTGGATTGTGAGCTGCTTTTTAGAGCACGTAAATCAATGTTTTTATAATTTTACTATAATAACGGGGTCAAATGCTAATATACAACCTATAAGAATCAAATCGAATATTATTATTATTTTTTTTATTTTTTTTTTGTTTTGTCAGGGACGAGATCCAACGCATCAAAGCTGGAAATCCTGATATAAGTCATAGGGAGGCTTTTAGTGCCGCTGCAAAAAATGTGAGACCCAATAATATATAGACTATATATTATACAAAAAAGAGTACACGTTTTATATATATATATATATATATATATTCTTGATTTTATTCAGTGATTTAATTTTTTCTACTTTGTAATTACATAATTTTATCTATATATCTATCGTTTATTGAAAGATAAAATATAGTATTTTCTAAAAGAAACATCTTGTATTTCTCTTTAACCTATTAATAATAGCTTGTGTTTTTCATTTATGTATTTTCTTTTTAAAACCATGATTTTGTTTTACTATCCTTTAAATTTTCTCTTCCCCACTTTTCTCAATTTTCATTTATCTATGTAAAATTTCTGAATTTTATAGTGGGCCCACTTTCCCCACATTCACTTCGGACTCATGCCTGATGATCAACCCGTGAAGAAACCAAATTTGTGCCAGCAGGTATTTCCAAACCCTAAATTTTTAGCCACTCAAATTAAGTTTAAAAATTGCCCCACACATTTCACATTACTTTTTACAAACCCTTAGGGCCCATTTAAAGCCCGTTAGCTGATGAGCCGAGCCATTTAGTTTTAATAAACGAGCTAATGATACTCAAGTTCGAGCTCGATTATCAAAAGCTCGACCTCAGCTCCGCTAACTTACACCTATATTTCCAACTAAATGCGAAGTAGTATTGTTTTTCTTTGTT